AATGTCTCAGTCATCAAGAAGACAAAAGATCTCAACAGACTCATTCTAGCGGAAACGATGACAATTATCAAAGTATGTGATCTTGATTAAAAACAGAGAGAAATCAATCATGTGAATTCTTACAAATCTTGGGATCTCCTCCAACAATGCTTTTTCATCTTTCACTGCACTTGCACCACAAAATCAAGCCTTTGTTGTTCCACAAACACCATCCCAGGTTGTTCCTCCATCAGTGACTTATCTATATGCAGCCTCTTCCTCAAAAGCCCCTGCTGCTACCTTTGCTCCCAAGGAAGCTGAAGAGAACTTGGCTTTAGCTTCCGGGTTGGTGAAGTATTACAACACTTTTGTGGCTGGAGAACTACCTCCATATATTTCTTTTGCTGATTTAGATCAAATTCACCCAGAAGATGTGGAGGAGATGGACATCACTTGGCAGATCGCGATGGCTGTTTTCAGGGCCAAACAATTTGCAAAGAAAACAAGGAAGAATAACTGGGGAGTGAATGCTGAAAACAAAGTACGGTTCAACAAAGGAAAGATGTGATGCTTTAACTGTCACGAGCCTGGTAATTTTGCTCGTGACTGTGCTAAACCTAATCGAAGAGTGAATAATGAAAGGACGATGGTGCAGGTGGGAAATAACAAGGGAGCTAATACCGACAACGAAACTGCAAATCTAGCTGTGGTAGCTCATTCATTTGGCTGGGAGGATCAAATTCAGCTCTAAACATTTCTGGACCTGAAAATGCTCACTTGGCCCAAATCAGTGACATCCCTGAAGAAAAAGCTGAAGAGGATCCACAAGCAGAGATGATGGAATTACAGTTTTCTTTCATGGTGTCTACTACCCCAGAACCTGAAAAGAAAGAGGTCAGTCAAAATTCCTGTTCTCAAACTTGTATTAATACTGTTAAATTTTTGCGTGAACAGATAGAATTACTGTGTAGAGAGAACGAGGACCTGAAATATGAGGGGTATAATATTAGTAAAGGCCAGAAACCATTAAAAGAACAATTAGAGGCTAAGACTAAGGACTTTAGAAAATTACAAGAAGAGTTTAGCAACAAGTGTGAGAACTACAATTTTATCAAGAAACAGCTTGCCATGGTAACTGAAGAACTTGACACATTAAAAATTCATTTTGAAAATGCTGATTTCCATTTTAAAAAGTTTGATGTGTCAAGGGAAAAAGTTGAGAATATGATAGAAAAACAAATGAGATGGAAAGATAAGAAACAAGTAGGTCTAGGGTATGAGTGTGTCCTCCTCCTTTTAATCACAATTACACTACTATCCCTTTGACCCAAGAAGAGCTAGACAGAGAAGAATTTCTTGACTATGGCAAACCTGTTGTACCCGTGACGGAGAGTAGTGCTAGGGAAAAGGATACTAACATTTATACTTCCTATGCAGATCCATATTTAAGTCAGGGCAAGCATGCAACAAAGAAGAGTGTGTATATGTGTGTGTGAATCTTGTGTTGGAACATCATACTATTCATATAAACATTAAAGATTCATCAAGTTCATCATCTTCTTCTTATCCTTCTTCTTCATTTTGATATTGCATCATCCAATTGATTGGGATTCCACAACATCAATTGGATCTGATTAATACATCAAGCAAAATGTGGACTTTATAGTTGGTATCAGAGCTTGGATTGTGTCAATCATTTTGGAAAGATATAGAGTTTTTGCACTTTTTCTTGAAGGATTTTGCGTTTTTTGGATAGTTTTTGAAGAAATATTGGGGGTTTGTTCTTCAAGTTTTTCATAAAAACAAGTTTTTGATCGAGTTTTGGGCTTAAAAGGGGTGAAAAACGCCGTTTTTCCGTAATTTGCGAGGAGTTTGCGGTCAGAAGAAGCATTCACGGCCGAACCGAAGCAGCTTTTACGGCCGACTTCGGACGTTTTCGGCCACACACGTGTTCGGTTCATGTTCAACACGTATTCGGTCCAACCTCGTTTGCGGTCAGCCAGCCGCCTTACCAACTCATCTAGGATGCCACATGCTTAACTCCTTCCCGATTTAATTCAAAAAGACTCGCTGCTTCGACCATAATTTCGCAATTTTGACATTTTTGGCCCAAAATTCAATTTTTTGAATTTTAAAATTCCATTTTCAACCCAAAATTTTGGTTTTTAATTTTTGACTTTTGACTTTGACTTTCAAGTTTGACCTTTGACTTTAAACTTTGACTTTTTCGTTTAACCTTCAAATTTTTACTTTTAGCTTTTCGGTTTGACTTCTAAGTTTGACTTTTAAATTTGAATTTTTAAGGTTGACTTTTGAGTTTTTAGTCAAAGGGTATTTTTGGTAAACAATGAGTTCTTCAAACATTTCGGTCAATCAAGTTTCATGTTCTCAATCGTATGAAGCTACGATTAAATTTCTTCGTGAACAAAACGATTTACTAAAAAGAGAAAATGAGGACCTTAAATATGAAGGATATACTCTTAGGAAGGCCCCAAAACCCTTAAGAACACAACTAGAGGCTAAAACTAAGGATTTTAGAAAACTTCAAGAGGAATATAGCAACAAATGTGAAAACTATGACTATTTTAAGAGACATCTTGCCAAATTCACTACCGAACTTGATGCATTGAAATCTAAATATAATGATGATGAATTCACGTTTAAGAAATTTGACGTGTTAAGTGAGGTAGTTGCATCCATGATTGAAAAACAACTAAAGTTCAAAGATAATCAAAGTAAGGGTCTAGGGTATAATAGTGTTCCACCTCCCTTCAATGACAACTATAACCCACCCCTTGAGACCAATGAGGAAGAAATTTATGTTCAGTTTGGCCCACTCCCCGAACAAGGTTCAGTTAATACTGAACAATCTGGGTCAACTGAGAATATTAAGGTGAACATTTTTGATGATTCTACTTCTTGTACAGGTAAAGTAATTGAAGATGAGAATAAGGACAACACTATTGAACAAACCAATGACTCCTTGAACTCTGAATCTGTTGCTTCTAACTCAGTTACTTCTAAACCTGTTGTTGGTAAATACAGGCCACCAATTCAAACTAAATAGAGTGCCTGTTGCAAGTGTGCTTGTGGGAACAATCAGAGACAAGGCAAGGGCACACCACCAGGGGCAGGAAGAAACAATTCCTACATGAAGAAAAAGACACGTTTTCATTGTGGAACACCTGGACACATTTCCAGAAATTTTCCAAATCGTGCATACGTTCCCTATTACACACAAGGATGGCAAAATGCTCAAAGAGGGAACTTTTCCAAAAGAGCCCCTTCAAAGTCACAATTGCCCAATGGTGACTGGAACACGCAGAAGGCCAATATGTCGAATCCAAAAGATGCTCCAGTAAAACCAAAATCAGTTAGATCAAAGTTATCTCGGCGACCGATTTTAGGTTCAAAATCAAGTGTCGAGCCGCCCATCTGATCGAACAAGAAATGGGTTAAACCCAACTACAGATGGGTACCAAAGGTTCAATCACCCAAATCTTCTAATGATTCTAATATTTCTACATTTTCTGTTTGTGATAAGCAGGATATGTCATGGGAGAGAGTACCTTGCAAGGATGAAAAAAGGTCGACCCAGTTTCAAAATGGACTGGGTTCCAAAGACCAACTGATCTCGCTCTGTGATGGAGCAGCTATGGAGTCATATCATCAGACTTCAGTTTGTTGGTAGTGGCTGTTCCAGGCACATGATAGGGGACATCTCTCAACTGTACAACATTCAAAACTTTGTTTAAGAGTATGTGTCCTCTGCGAGAAGGGAAGAAAGGAAAGGATCACACATAGGGTTTTGTGCTTAACAATGTGAAGATTTTTTGGATCTGTTCTGAGATTATGTGTGCTGTTCTCGGACCTTCTGGATGCAAATTCAATCGGTGACTTACGGTTTGAGTTTTCCTCTCGATACTCTTGAGTTTACCTTAAACTGATTCGTTTTGAAGACAATCTTTTATTTTCTTTTAGTTTTTCGTTAGTAGGTATTATTGGGAAGTGATATGAAGTCTAGTGCTGAAGGGCAATCTGAAATTTGTGTAAAGCACTGAAGCTAAATTGTTTAGACTCTGTGTTCAATGTGCTGGTAGGCACGAAGGATTTCAATGGACCAGACTAGATTTAGATTGACATTTTAAAAGGACTTGACAAGTACTGACTTAGATAGTTCCGTTTGGTCTGTCAATATGACGCTCGAGTAGATTGAGCAGTAAGATATACATGGGAATCTATGGGATACACTAAATAATCTGTATCTAGAATTGTGGTTTAACATTGTTATTTCTGTTTTATTTCTTTTTCAGAAATTTCAAAAATCCAAAAATATTTTTGTTTATGTTTTTTTTTTCTGAAAATATGAAAAATCCAAAAAATATTGTGTGCTAAGTTTTCTTTTAGTTTTGGTTTTTATCTCAAAATTTCTTTGTCTTGCACTACTAGAAAAACAGCCTTTTACGACGCTCATTGCGCGTCGTAAAACGCTCAGACGACGCGCAAATGCGCGTCAAGGAAGGCCCTGTCATAAAGAGAGATGACGCGCATTTACGATGCGCATTTATGACGCGCATTTACGACGCTCATTTACGACGCGCAATGCGTATCAAGGAAGGCCCTGTCACAAAGGAAGACGACACGCATTTGCATGTCGTAACCTTACGACGCGCGTGTTTATGACACGCATTGCGTATCAAGGAAGCCCCTGTCAAGAAAGGCCATGTCATAAATGAAGATGACACACATTTTTGCGTATCGTAATTTTATATGTTTTAAAAAAAATATTTTTTCTAGATTTACTAATTTTTGAATTAAATTTTCATTTAATGTCACTTAATAAATAAAATATCATATACAAAAATACAATTCATTGCACAAAATATAATGTCATACAAATAATCGTTCCATGGAAAGATAAAACAAATCAATAAAAGTTATAACGGAAATTTACAAACTAATTAGATACAAGAAATATGAAAAACTTGAAATCTCTAAGATTAATAATTCTAGCAGAAGCTTCACGTGAGATACATACAGTTGGACCAGTAAGCATGGATGTTCCCGAATCCACAATAGCAGCAGAAGAACACGTACACGATATCTTTTGCAAGAAGGTGCCTGTCCAAAACTACTGTTGAAGGTTGCCATGATAGCTGTTAAGATTTAAGCATAACAAGAAACCAATCAGTGACTATAATAAGCTAGAAAACAAGCAACTAATAAACAAAATAAGCAACTAATTAAGTCAAACTATGACTATGTATTGTTCATACAAGAAAAAGAAGGAAAAAAATGTTGATTTATTGTTGTTCATACAACACTCTCCAGACAACACTTAATTGAAGAAAAGAATAAGGCTAAACTTACAAAGAAAAAGAATTCAGGAAGAAGACAAGTTTGAAAGCATACAAAATAACATTTAGCCAAGCAAGTGTGATCTACTAGTAAACTTGAAAACGCAAAATTCTGAGTAAATGACCTAAATACCCTCAGAATCGTTAATCATAATAACAAGTAACAGACCTTGTAGGAGGCAATGCAGAGGTCTGGCCAGATGGCATAGCATGATAAGCACCATCCATTATGATATAAGGTGAAGCAGCCAAAAGCCCCAGCAGCACCAGCCAAAATAGGTAGCCTACAACAAAATTTCACAATTTTAACCATTTAATCACCTAACTATTATTATCTTAAATATTTATTTACTTATATATATTTAAAGTACCATGTCATTTCTGAATTCCCCATTCCATTGGGCTGAGTAACGTAGCCAGGGAACGCCATGCCAACAGCAGGAACTCCAATATTAGTTCATATATTTGTTCGTATCATTAGTTCATTAATTACAATATTATAATTTTGTAGGTTTTTCAAAGTATGATCTCTTCATAAAAAAACTATTGAAAGTAGGATGTTATAATAAACAAATAAATGAAAGTACCCCGCTATTTTTTGCATTTATCCCAGTTAACTCAATTACCTTCAATTATCTTGAGTTGCATCCTTTTTAACAATGTTCCATTTGGATTTTAAAGCTTGAACGCATAAAACATAAAGTGAAATTTAAGAAGCAACAACAGATATACATTTGTAAATTTGGTATTTGGATCTAGCAACAAAATGAATAATGTAGTTGGTGGTTACCTTTAGTTACTTGAGATTTGTGTAACGTGCCTACCTGTTTCACTTAATGCAACAGCAGTCATAACTTTCTTCCTGTATGAACCAACATCATTTCATGCCCATCTACATCTGCTCCTCTAAATCAACTTATCTTCACCATTGCTAACCCAAACAAACAAAGCCACAAACAACAATTAATTATACAAACATAGATTCACAATTATAAAATAAATTAAAAAACTTTACTTGAAATCAACACCATAAGAAGCACTAAGAGCCATGACACGACTTGGATGGAAAATAATAGCAGAAACTACAGCATCCCTGTAACCATCACATGTTCAAAAAATGTTATACCGGAAAAAAAATCTATATACATATTAAATAAAAAGATTTTATAAACAGCAAAAAAACAACCTATGGGGCACATATATAACAATAGACAAGGTAAAATCATTGTTGTGTGGCCCACATTCCCAAAACTTGTGTGTTACAAAACCTCCTATTCCTTGTTCATACATTCTGGTTTCAACAGTACCCATCACAGGGCCATGACACGAACAACAACAACTTCTAGACTATTAGCACCATGTCATTTGTTAGTATCTGCTATTTGTTCATGGTGTTTAGGCGAATGGTGGATGATTTTGTTTCCAGAATCCACTTTTCGTAATTTTCAACCTAAGAAATTAGAATTTGATAAGAGAATATAAAAAGTAAAGTACATAAAAAATAGAAATAGAAGACTATTAGGATCACCTCAGCTAGCATCTTTGCACAGAAATCTGGGTGGAGCATATCGAATGTGAAAACTCCTGGAACAAGTTCAGACATTATGTTTCTGATACTTTGATTTCTGCTGACATCATCATTAGCCATGAATGCGTTTATGAAAGAGGGCACAAAGAAGCTTGAGGGATTCAGTTCATATAGTTCTCTATGAAGAGGCTGAAAACCAAGGAAAAGGAAATCAGTGATTGCTGATTATACAACATATAAAATATAAAATATATATCAAATATATTACCTGATAATTGTATATGATTCTTTCCCTGTATATGTTGTGCTTCTTAGCTTGTTGAAAGTGATGAAAAAAGATGGATTAGTTATTAAAATAGACTTTAACATATAAACTTCAAGTCATTTAAGACGATTAAGGAAAATTTCTTACTGTATTTCATTCGTTATAATGGTCGATAATTAAAGAATTTTTCTATATAGGGAAGTATTATATTAATGATATGAATTCTAAATTATTGTAGGTTATTGAACTCATATGAAGAAAAAGGTGCTTAACACATGTAATCCCCAGCCTTTTAACATAGACTTGAATACAATCACTCTATGCATAAACGTTTTGTCAACTTTATGTGTAAAGCACTAATTGTGTTTGCTTCCTAAATAGAAAAAACACAGGGAACATAGAAATCACGGGTACCATGATTTCCTAATGCCCAAATGTTGACAATAAATTTGGTGCAGCAGGTGACAATGCAACCGCAATAATCCTCATTGCTTCTAATAATCACAAGGTCCTGCTCCACAAGAAAAAAATAAGAATTCTAAATGTACAAATTCAACCCTTTTCATGAATTGTTTTTTGTCTTCAAATCAATATATTATCTTCGGTTGATGATATCTAACAATTGGAGTTAAAGTTGTAACATATTTTGCATTTAAATGGTTGGATATGAGGAGTTATAGAATGAAGTAACTTACAAAAAAAACATTTATTAGTAATAGCAAACTGTAATAAACTAATAATCACTTTAAATGAACATACATATAGTACTTAAGGAGTTAAGTCAATGGAGTACGAGCTCATGGGGTAATAACTTGAAAATTATATTCAGGAATCTTACCAGCTTCTCTACATTGTCCTTGAAGGCATTTCCTTCAGCTGCAAAAGTTATAAAGCTTTTGTATTGCTGGAATGATTTAGCAACACTGCCACCAAATAACTCTGTTTGACTTTTGAGTTTTGACCAGAATTTCAATTCAAAACCCCCCTTTGAAGGAATCTAGACTACTGCAACAGTTTGAATGTTTTGACAGAAGGGTCCTCTAGTAGCACAGAGGACCCTTCAGTGCTTTTGAAAAGCTAGTGTAGTGATGTGGATTCAGAGTTTGTTAATAACTGAATTTTATAATGTCAATGAAGTTGGACCCGAGTGTATGCATTATTACTAATTTTATAACAACATAATGGTTTTTAAATTTCTTTCCCATACTATTTCAATTCATATATAGCTGCCAAAATCAAGAATAAAAAGTGAATACGAGAAGAGTACTAAACATATATATATATATATATATATATATATATATATATATATATATATATATATATATATATATATATATATATCAATCTGTTGCTTATGAATTAATAATGGTTATTAATAACCACTCACAAATACTTTTTAATTCACAACAGATTGTTAGTCTTATAATTTTTATTGATTTCATTTTACAAAACTTAATTAGAAACCGGGTACCCGGTATCGGAACCGGTGCGGCGGTTCCGGTTCCGGTTCCAAAGTTTCAAGAACCGGCGGTTCCGGTTTCGGTTCCAGACAATTAGGCCGGATACCCGCCTATGCTTATCCCTACATCTTACAATCATATATGGAAATAAGAATTTGTTCGGCGACTCAATAGATATTTTATTACAAACAAGTAAAATATCATTAACCTTTAACTTCATATGTCTGGATCCTTACAAGGCACAAAGCAGACATCAAGAAAAAAAATGTTAACATCTTCCATCATTACTCTATCCACTTCACAGCTATGTCTAAACTGCAAAAATGATGAGAACTTACATTTTATCGAACATTTGGTAGGAATATGATCGAATCCACTTTGAAGTTGTTTATTTGTAGCATTTCTAAACTGCAAAAACGATGAGAACTTACACTTTACCCCTTGATCCAAACAAACATGTTTTTTTTCATAGCACAAATCTTGTAGATATTTACCTGAACCAAAGAGATAATTATTGTTCCACAACCATTGGAGATTTTTATTTTATAAGACATGAACATATGCTATAATCTCGAACTCCACTTACGGTAATGACCAAACTGCCCTTGAGCCAACATCAATCACCTCCAACCCACATGCTGCCACGTCAGTAGCAACAAGAATTGGAGTCTTCCGACTCTTAAATGACCTCAATGCCAACTCCCTTTCCTATCAATAAAAAACAAAAATTAGAAATTAACTTTTATTCATTTTTTTAACTTTAACTCTATTTTTTTTTACCGGTTGTGTTTTGTCTCCATGAATTGTAGTAGCGGGAAAACATTATATAAATTAAAAAACTATATATTAAAATGATTCAAATTAATAAAATAAAATTAAAAACCTGGATTTCTCTAGGAAAAGTGGCACTGAAAAGCATTGTTTGTCTTCCAGGAGGTGGAGGCATGTCTGTTTGTTCCACAATTTTTCTTATTTGAGGCTCAAATCCCATATCCAACATACGATCAGCTTCATCAAGAGCTAAATACCTTACCATTTGTAATGACACTTTTGCCCTTTCAAGTAAATCAACTAATCTTCCAGGTGTTGCCACAATTAAATCAACTAGCTTCATCTTTCTTTCCCGTTCTTCTGTTTCTTTGCCTTGGTGCACAAGGTGCAGGGGAGTAAATCTACACATTTAAGATAATAGAAGTAGTGAAATTAGTATACTATAAATATGATCTTACCCATTACTATGAAAAATTATTTTATCTCTATCAATAAATATCAATATCAATACCTACATCTCACATGAATGGTGTAAATGGAAGGGAAGAAGTAAGATGTAGGCAGCCCCTGGCCCCTGAGTGGATGATCTCTTTAACCTATAGGATAATGATTTTGTCTTCTCTTAGATAATAAATAATAACTACAATCCCATATACATTAAGACATGTATACTGAGTTTCTTGGACTTTGTTGCTCTTTCTGCAAGAACTTTCATATCGGTACCACTAGTTTGAAACATAAACAAAAGTCTGCCTCAGTTTCACCTATTGTGTCTCTGTTAACTAAACTAATGCAACTGAAACACTTGTACACCTCAATGAGTGAATATCACACATAGACATGACAACATCCACAAACACTCTATAAATATATGATCTCATGCATCACACTAAACTGGAAACAAGGTAAAATCAATTGAGTTCTTGTAGTCTAAAAATGATACTCAAACAGCTTTGGAAATATCTATATACAGCCATAGCAGGTACCTTGAGCTGTAAATTTCTCATCAACCAATGAGATGTCAACAAGCACCGATCCATTCTGTAGAAGGTTCCCAAATGATGAATTTAGCATGAATGATTCTAAAGGCGATCGGTACCCAGGACTCCCACTCAGAGTAATCCTCAACAAACTGCCATTTTTATGGGAGGATTATTCATTTTTCATATACTTGTGTGTGTATGTATGTGTTTCTGTGTAGATGAAATTGAAGAGAGAGAGAGAGAGAGAGAGAGAAGATTACCAGATGGGATGATTCTCAGCCTTACAAAGGTTTCGTGCTCTAGTTCTTTTCTAAGAATATCAGCAGAATGAAAGAAGATTAACTTCAGTAGATAACAGAATGAGTGTGGATGGGTCCGTTTATCATCATCAAAAAGCTCTGATCTTTCTGGTAGTATAGGACCTCCAGTCTCTTATGAAAAAAACCCTAAAAAGACAAATCACAATCGATCCAATAATCAGTGATTTTGACCCAGGAGGGTTGTAATACTGATGATATAGAGGTGCAGAAAACAGCTTCAAAAGCGTCATCGTCTTCAGGGTGCAAAAACAGGAGAAGAAAAGTAGATAGACACCGCCGATTGTGCTTGGAGAGATGATCATTCGGTAGGAGCATGGCCGATGGGGAAGGACCGGTGGTCAACGACAAAGGTGAGGAACGAGATGTTTGATGAGAGCGATAAGAAGGAGGTCAGGAGTAGCGGAGAAGCGGATTGGAGAGGAAAGAGATGGACCGAGATGGGAGAGTCGATTTAGAAGATGAATGATAGAAAAAAGGTAGAAGGCGGGTTTTCAAAAATTTGGGGATTTCGTTTCCCGTCTAAACGCGCGTTTCATTAAAGTTATAAAGCGACAGGTACAGAGGACGCGCGTTTAAAAAAAGTGCCCTCCGTGTTTTTAATTTTTTTTTCTTTAGACACTAATCTAAGGGCACGCAATAATGCGTGACGTAAATTATTAAATTTTTTGAAGAGATGACACTATTTTAAGATCACTCTCTTTTGCGTAACATAAATCAGCGCGTGTCGTGGTTTGCACGTCGTTAAAGGCTGTTTTTCTAGTAGTGTTGAAAAGTGAATTCAGATGTAGATGAGACTAACGGAGACTGTATCAAGATTTTATGAGCCAAAGCTTTGTAACACCTGATTCCTGGTATGCATTTAATTCAAGTAATTCTTACATTTTTCTTTGGAACTCGACGAGTTGTCCCAACTCGTCGAGTAGACTCGTGATCCGTGGGAAGTTTAAGTGATATATTCGATGTGTCGGGAGACCGACTCGGTGTTTAGATGTTGTTTGAGTGAAACCCTAAATTTGATGGTTTACACCCTATTTAAACAACTTATCTCTCCCCATGTCCGCCTCCATCGTCCCTTATACTTCCAGAAGACATTAGCCTGTACCCTAGCCTTGTTTGAGTGTTCTAAGGCCATTTTGTGCATTTTGGTGGATTGTGACGCTTGAGAAGAGGAAAGGAGCTTGGGAGTTCAATTTGAAGCTAGAAGATACAGGGATTTTGTTCCATTTCCAGCTCATTTAAGGTAAAAAGCTTCTATCTTGATCTTCCATGTGTTTAATCATATTTAGGGCTTGGATTTTGGTATATTTAGGGCATTCTAAGCCATTATCGGGTTGTGGGGTGTAATATGGAGTTATGGATTCAGATCTTGGTATTTGGAGGGGTCTCATTGCATAAAGGTGCCAACTCTATGGCCATGAGAGCCCCATGCATCTTGTAGGTCTCATTTTTGGTCCTTTTGAGCTTAAAGACCCATGTGTGGATGTAAAGTTTCTAACTTTACGTGTTATATCGACCCTAAGAGGTTAGATCTACCCTTTGGATGAAATGAGCTTAGCAGAAATCGAGTTTATGGACATGGACCTTAGTGGACTCGGCGAGTTGTTCTTGGGACTCGGCGAGTCGGGTAGTGGTTCCCCAACCTTTGTTGTTTTGGGGGTCTGGTTGAGTTTAGAGAAGGACTCAACAAAGTTGGACGAGATTATAGACCTGGAAATCATGGGACTCAGCGAGTCTAAGGAAATCTCCCAAACCATGAAGATGGACTTGACGAGTTGTTCATACAACTCGGCGTGTCATAGACTGAACACATTCTTATGAGGGAGATGAGCTTGATGAGTTCCAGGGGAACTCGACGAGTCGGTTGAAGATGGTCCTGATATTATGGTTGAAGGAGGACCCGTCGAGTTGTTGCTAGACTCGACGAGTGGAGTCGAGATTTGGATAATTTTGGAGGAATAGGGACTCGACGAGTTTGTAGACCAACTCCGCAAGTCAAGTCAAAAGGAGGTTGACTTTGACCAAAGTTGACATTGACCAGGATTTGGGTTGACCCCATATGGGGGCTGTGAGTACGAATTGATGACTTAATAGAGTTGTCGTGTAAGGATCGAGGAGTCGAGGAAAGTCGATCTCTACACCGGAAGTAGTTCAGACTCTACACGACATTGAGGTGAGTTACTTTCTAGTAGAAGTGGGTCTAAGGCACCAAGGCCGACCCACTAGTAGTTGATTACAGTTGAGATGATTGTCTTTGTGATAATTGTCTGCTTTGCTATTACTTGATATGTTCTATGTGCCAGTTTGCTATGTTGTATGTGATAGTGGTAGTAGGTGGGGAATAGTCCCCCGATCGGTTGTTAGGACCGAAGGGTAGGTCGGACACCCCAGATATGTCTGACAACATGTTTATGATATGTTATTATGTGATAGTCATAGGGGTGAAATAGTCCCCGTGACCGGGTGAGCTAGACTGGAGGGTAGGCAGGCACCCCAGAATGGCCTGACATGGGTAGTCAGCACCCCATAATGGCTTGACACAGGTAGTCAGCACCCCAGAATGGCTTGACATGGGTAGGTCGTGCACCCCAGAGTTGCCTGGCAGCATGTATGATTGTATGGTATGTGGTATGATGGGGGAACTCACTAAGCTTTGTGCTTACAGTTTCAGTTTTGCTTTCAGGTAACTCTTCATCAAAGGGGAAGGAGTCGGCGGCGTACAAGCGCATCACACACACATAATTTCCGCAATGAGTTTTCTGGGATTGTACTCTGATTTATACTATTGTTCGATGTTTTGAATTTGAGACATGTTCATGATGGTTTATGGATTGATATGATATTGACAATGTTTTCAGTAAACGATTTTATAAATTACTTAATTACAAATGAAATTTTTATACTCGAAATTTGGGACGTTACAATCTTCATCTGTGATCATTGAAGAATTCTCATTCGAAGGAACAATAAATGAAGATTATTCTTTCAACATACAAATTTTCAACCCCAAAAGCAAGGTGAAGCTGACTTGAAGATTATGTGACAGATTGCATTGAAGCCTCTTCAATCAATTTATTGCTATCTATGTACCTGCTGAAGTGATCTAGAAGATTCGTTCTCTCTGTTATTCTCTCTAGAGATTCTCAAGCTGAAAGTGCAATTTTTCAAGAATCTTTTCCATAAGCCTCCACACCCAACGTGCGTTCAAAGTCAAATCTTGAAGAAAATCCCATCTGTTCAAGATGAAGTCATTTAGCTAGAAGATTTGGTTTTTCATCTTGAAGTTGTAAAGAAATTGAAGATTAAAGTTGAAGCCAAGCTCCAAATGAAGATTGACAAGAAAAGCCAGCTACATTCTTAGGGGGATTTTGTTGGGTCAAAGAAAAGAAAGCTATAAACCAAGGGGGAGATTGTTTGGTCAAAAATATGGTTTATACTTTACTTTTCTAGGCAATTATATTTTCCAGTCTAGGACCGTAAAAAGCCTGGTGTTTACGGATGTATGTGTGTTCACGGCCGTGAACATGTTTTCGGCCACTATATATAGATGTAAGGGTGAGGAGTCAAAAAGGGGAGCTACGTGTGTGTAACTAAATGTGCTCTAAAGAGAGAAGGTGAGAGAAAAGAAGAATGTGTATATGCGTGTGTGAATCTTGTGTTGGAACATCATTCTAATCATATAAACATCGAAGATTCATCAAGTTCATCATCTTCTTCTTATCCTTCTTCTTCATTTTGATCTTCCATTATCCAATTGATTGGGATTCCGCACCATCAATTGGATATGATTGATACATCAAGCAAAATGTGGACTTTACAATCTTAACAATTCACCTTGACACCATTAAATTTATCTTGGGTTGATGATGAATGAGAACTTGGGTTTAATTGTGAACGGGTCTCCGATGGACGAGTTCAAAATCTTCAAAGGAGTGCGTCAAGGAGATCCCTTTATCTCCCTTTTTGTTCATCATAGCCATGGAGGGTCTTAACATTGCAATGGAGGATGCTCAAAACAAAGGTTTATTCAAAGGTGTCAAAATTCACAATGAAGGTCCTACCATATCGCATCTCTTCTATGCAGACGATGCACTGTTTATTGGAGAGTG